TTGGCAAATGAAATGCAATTATGAATCATAGCAGTTCGCGATAAAAAATGTATCGTATTAGTATGGGGTGGATATAAGTTGGTAGGTGTTCCTTTAACCTGTCTCTTATACACATCTAGATGTGTATAAGAGACAGCTTTTATAAAATTGACAAAATTCTTGACATAGAGGTGTCAAATTTTTTCTTTTTTTTTCATTTATTGTTTATTCTGGGGGATTGCTCCAGGATAAAATCCCTGGTCCTCTGCAGATCCCAGCAAAGAAAATAACAATCTGAGTTCATAAAACAAAAACAAAAACATTGAAACAACAGAAAGATGTACTACCCCCTATTTTTTTTTTAAACCCCTAAAATACCATCTTTAAAAACATTGTTCTTTAAAGTAAGCTAGATCTGTCTCTGGGCTAAATTTTCGTCTTTTAGCACTTTCTCAGCTCAACTCAGAGGCAACATCGGTAGAATAATGAGCTTATTCTTTGCATGTTCTCAGTGACTCTCATCACTGCATTAAGAGACGTTTTAATTCACTTTTTTATTTTTAAATACAATTTCAAACGTTTAGTAGTTAAAACAGATCGTTCGTAATTTGACGCCATCGTCACAAAATAAAATAAAAAGTTGTATTTGTAAGGTTGTTACTTGTTTGATGTCTTAAAGGCCATTTTTCGAGCTTTAAAAATGTATAACCTGGCATTTAGAACTGAAGTTACCAAAATGAATATGGTGAGCGATGGTTCACAAAAACATGCTAGCTGGAAGAGGCCCAGGCCAATACCACTGCCAGCAGTATAAAAAAGAAACGCCGACTGACCGACCGACCCTGGCTTTCAAACGTCACCGCAACCGCAACACAATAATTTTTTAGGCCTTATTATAATAATAATGATTTGATAATGACACCAATCATGACCATAATAATGATTATAACAATGATGATATTGATGGTGGTGGTGGTGATGATAATAATAATAATAATAATAATAATAATAATAATAATAATAATAATAATAATAATAATAATAATAATAATAATTTATATAGCGCCTATTTCAACTATACCGAAGTAAAAATCAAAGGCGCTTAACATTTAGATGGTAGAAAGGTGCGTCTTAAGTTTTGTCTTAAAAATAGCAACTGACGGTGATTGGATAATATGTTTGGGCAATGAGTTCCAAAGGGATGCTGCGGAAAACGAATATGATCTAGAACCAAAGGTTTTGGTGTTAATTCTAGGAACAACTAAAAGATTTTTATCGGAAGAACGGAGACAAGTAGGTGGGGCATACGCATGAATGAGTTCAACAAGGTAAGTGGGTTGTTTGTAAAATAGTGCTTTGAACGTTAATAGCAGGATTTTGTATTTGATACGAGATTCAATACGGAGCCAATGTAAATGATAAATTACCGGTGATATATGTGAGCGTCTAGAAGTAAGAGTCAGAATACGTGCAGCTAGCTGAATTCTGAAGACGTTGAAGGCGATTTATCGCAGTTTTTGTTAACGAGTAGAAAAGGGAGTTGCAATAATCCAGATGG